ATATATATATATATATATATGATGAGGGTTCAAACGACACGGTGTAACTTTTATTAAGTGTTACACTGCTCAATAACTTTATATTAACTGTGAATTTTGAAAATCCAACCGTTAGATTGAAAGTTCATATCTCTTAGATCATATATATCAAATTTTATATTAATCTAAGATGATTTGATATTTCATTCTCATAAACAAAATTGACGTAATATATACATTTTAAAATATACTAAAATATGAACACTTTAATTACCTTCAAGTTATTGTTCAATTTTAACAAAATTTGACATATATGATCTAAGAGATATAAACTTTCAATCTAACGGTTGAATTTTCAAAATTTACATTTAATATAAAGTTATTAAGCGGTATAACACTTAGTAAAAGTTACACCGGTATCGATTGAACCCTCCTCTATATATATATATATATATAAGTCTTCTTTAAACTTAAAATTATTAAATTTACTTAATTTAATAAATTTTTCATTTTTTTTTACTTTTGATATTATTGACGTGCTTTTACATTGACAGACATGTAGCGAAATGTTGATACCCATTGGCATAGGAAACGATACAATGTTTGAAGCTGCTCCTTTCAGCATGAAGATCTTTGCCCAATACTGCAAGAAACTATTTGGTGTCTCACCTCGTCCTCATTGGATCACTACTTACTATGGTGGCCATGTAAGTGTCTTTATATTGATCTCTTTTTTGTAACATTCATGTGCATTCATTCATTTTTCAAACCCAATTAAGTCTCATGTCATTCTCAGATAAGATCAAACTAAAATATATAAACAAAAAAATATGTTATCTTTTAGAATTAAGTTAAGTTCAAAACATATTTTTATGACGATAATGATATCATAGTCTGTTAAGAGTGAGAAGTATATTAAAAAATTCAAGTCTAAAATTAACTAGAGATAATATCAAATAGAATATAGAATATAGAAATAAGTAAGCCTCATCTTATAAATTTAAATTAGAAAAAATTTGAATCTTATATATTCTAGATCATTAAAAGTAGTCATCTATTATTTACCTATGCAATAAATTTAATAATATTGGATATTACATGAGAGGGTATATTAAGAGAGAAAAAAAAACTTAAATCTTATTAGAAAAAATTAAGTCTTACATTGACTAGAGATTAGACAATTAAATAGTATATAAGTGGAAAACAACTCTCACTTTACAAATCGATTTTGTAGGTTGAATTAGGCTTAAATTTACTATTCTAAAATGGTATCAGAGTTATCATAGATCCTTAAAAATGATCACCTATCCTAGATCATTAAAATGGGTCACTCACCATCCATCCACATACTAAGCTTAATAGTGTTGGACGTGAAAGGGTGTATCAGAAAAAACTCAAGTCCTATATTAACTAAAAATTAGGTAATTAAATAATATATAAGTGGAAAGTAACATTCACCTTACAAGTCGATTTTGTAAAGTTGAATTAGACTCAAATTTACTATCGTAAAAAATTCTAAATCAACCATAGATAATGTATACATGATTGAATTTGTTCAAAATTCACTTGGTAAGAATTTATGTTGTAACCATACTAGAATTTTGTCTTTGATTGTATTGCGACATGGAAACTTCAATTTATTGTGGGTAATGCAGAATATTAAATTGGTCCTTCGAAGATTTGGTAGCAACATTATTTTCTCCAATGGGCTAAGAGACCCATATAGTGTTGGCGGGTAAGCAACGTAAATTGCACGAGCTACAACTCTTAATGTTTTAGAATTTCGATATTGTTTATGCGTAAATATTATTTTAGGTAAATATTTTAAAATAGCTTTGTATGATTCGTCTATATTTCAGGGTTTTGGAAAACATATCAGACAACATTGTTGCCATCCATACAGTTAATGGTATGTTGCCTTGGTTTAATTGTTTACGTATGTTAGAATCCCAAGACACTATATATGAAAGGAGTGAGCACAATTTCAAGCATAATTTAATTAAAACATTAAAAAAATTTAAAAGTTGACAAATATTAGATGCATGACATAGTTTATTTTTTAATCAACAATAGCGTTTGGACATTCACTGATGAACAAGAACAAGTCAGATTGATTTGGCATTTAAGAATCAAAATCATACCTCACATAGATGCGATCGATGTGAAGATTTTTTTAACAACTAATTTATATTTTTACATAACTGTTCTTTAGAAAAACTCCTGTTAAACATTATAAAGTAAAAATATGTACTAATTCTCACGAGTCAGTGGATTAAGTTCATAAATGGGAAATTCTTTTACACCATTAAGTTTATTTATTTTTAAATTGAAGGCTGGAATTTTATTTGTTTTGCTCTTTGAAGATTTACCTCTATATTTTTCAGATTTATTTATTTCCAAACTGTTTAGTATTTTTTTTTTTATCACTCTTTGGAATTCTTGATCACCATTTAGTATTTCTTACATCATATTTATGGTGAAACTATTTTTTTTTACCATTTTTATATTTAAAACAATCATGATAGCATGGCTGACAAACATTGATTTTTCAGGATCTCACTGTCTGGATATTCTGAGGGCAAATGAAAGCGATCCAGGATGGTTGGTGGAACAACGAAAGAAAGAGATAAAGATAATGAGAAGGTGGATCACCCACTACTATGTTGACCTCTATGCACTCAATAACAATACCAAATTTCACAGCAAATGATAAGGGGAAACACAAGTTAAGAAATACTAGGGCTGTCCTCAAACTTTGGTACACAATTTTCAATAATAACGTCCATTAGTAAATTAATGAGTCGTTTATTTTAAATTCGGATAGAATTGATTTGAATAAAGTTAAAAATCAATTGCAATTTTAGTTCTTGATTGAGGGGTTTTGATGGCTCAATTGTTAATGTTTAATTTTGACACATTTTTAGAATATGTAATTTTAATTTATCTACTAAATTTTATATTTAATGTTGAATGAAAAAGACTTAAATATGTTTTTCTTCTATATAACTTAAATTTTCATTTTTATTGTTTTTTAAATAATTATTATGAGTTTAAAACTTTCATTTTTAATTTTCCACAATCATCATGTGGTATATCAACATACTAAATATACGAAGAAAAAAAGTTACGCTCATAGACATAAACAAATATTAAAGTCTTCAATATAATGCTTAAATTTAATTTTAAATTAATATAAATTAAATAACAAACACATTTAATAATCACTTACTCCTTTATCTTTTCTTCTTCTTTTTTTTCTTGTTCAATATTATAAGATCACTTACACATTATATATTGTCGCATATATTTTTCTTTCCCTTTTTATATACACATACTTGAGGAAAGAAAAGAAAGAAAAGAAAGAAGAAAAAAAACACAAACACACAATCTAAGTTCTAATTGTGGTCACCCCCAACTTGGCTCTGAAAGTGGCATTGTTTTCTTTAGCAACACGCACCAATACCGTTAATAGTGTCAGGAAGCTGGCCAGAGAAAAATAAAATAAAATAAAATAAAATAGGACTGCACGTAAACATTAATATAAGAGAACTTTAACAAATTACAGAAATGTAATTTTATACTTTCAGTGAAAGAAAAAGAAGCAACATGTTTGAAGAGTCCCAAAACAATTCACTAACTGAATACCCCTTTTACCCTAACCACAACGCCAAGCACGTAACAAACCCGAGAATCAATATGCTCTTGTTATTCACTAAAAGTAACATCAAATAAGAACTTCAATAACAACAACGAATAGGGTCAACTGTACAAGATAACAGGACTCACCACCACCACTTTACCATGAATTTATATGCCACTATATAGGGTATTAAGGTAAACAAATAAACAATGACGAACTACTTCAGGTTTTCCGACCAGTTCACCAAATCTACACACTGCTACAACCGTTTGTCTTTAACGGTTCACTGATATCTCAGGGCTAGTTGCAAGCAGCAAAGTTCATTCTTACTTCAGTATCAACCAAAAGTAATTGGGCATCCTAAACTGTTGCAGCAGTTGCTTTCTTCACATGTTTCTCATCTTCAACATCCTGAAAGTTTCCATATCATGATAAATCAAAATCATCTTATCAACAAAAGCTGCATGAATCTTTAATTTTCCATCAATGCCGAGGGAGTTCAGTTATGCAAATAGACTCTCGTAAATATCTGAAAAACACCTCAATCACCAATAAATGCTTTCCTCCCGATCTTTCTATTTCCCCTGCTATTCTCCGTGTGTGTGTGTGCACTTGCTCTATAGTTTCTCTCATTTTTCTTAATCCCAATTTCTCTTCTATTTACTAACAAACAATATCGGTTTTACAGAAAATACATATTTATATTATATTATTTGTATTTATTTTAACAATCACATGAGAATGTGCAGTTTTCTTGTGTCCAAACTATATATTAAATGGAAGAAAACCAAAGTGGATCCAAGTAAAAAGCACTTACAGAATTGCCAATCTTGTCAAAATCATCATCAAAACTGCCCTCACCATCATCTGAAAGAGGAAAACCATAATTAATCAGTATGAAGGTAGACAGGGACAAGTTAATAGAAGATGATGACAGATAAATCTAGTTAACCATCAAATGCAATGTCATCCCAAACACTTCAAAATCAAGTAAATTCTCAAGAATCATAATGGTAATTGACAGTGGAATGCCTCATACTTTTGCACATAGAAATTCCTACATAATGTGTAAACTTTAAGTAACTGATCCTAGATGAAAAACTCAAAGTCGTGTTAGGACTGAATATTTCTGCAACAAAATCTAAACAAACCGAGTAATATACCTGGAGCATCATCACTGTCTTCAAGATCTCCAAGAAGAAATGTATCCAAGTCTTGCTCGGTAGAGGATGAATTAGAAGATTTACTCTTCACATTCTTCCCTGTTGCTACTGCCTTTCCAGTTCCTCCAGTAACAGCAGTTTGCTCTACCTTAGTATCCACATTCTGTTCTGCTGCTTCTCTAAGCTGAACCTCCTCCATATATTGCTTCTCATACCTGATTGTAACATTATAATCATTGAATGAGACTTAAAAAATGTTATAACACTACACTTGAAACAAAAAAAACAAAGAAAGTTAGCATTTTCACAAATATTAGAATATCATCACTTTTCTGGTTTTTAAAGTTTTTTCAATTCATCTTATCCTCTACTATATTAAATACCTGCCACATCAAAAGCACAATGGAAGTATACTGACTCAAGCTTCCTCAAACATGAATAAAGATGGAAGTCTATATTATTACAGCTCCAACATAAGAAGAATCAAGGGCTAAAACGCAGCTTAAACCCACTTCATGAAGCCAGGAGGAAAAATACACAAAATTATGAATTAAATCCCATATAAACAAGCCATACACTGGAATCTAAACTCTTATGTTATATTTGAAAAATCTAGACATGGTCATGGTCAGAAGTCATCACAAATGAAAACTTCAACAGCAACTGCTTGGAAAAAAAAATGAATGCAGAAGCAGGTATATATAATTAAAGTGCATACACATCTTATTTATAGTTAGCAAGAAATCCACAATGACATTCTTCAAGACACTGAAATAGATGTCCCATGCTGACTATACATTCCATAAATCATCTTAGGGAGCATTTGTTTTGAGCTTTATTAATTTATTCTTTGGAATTTGAAGATGTGAATGACATAGTCCAATGTTTCGTTCAAGTTCATTTTTAAGAAGAAAAAACTAGAAATCAATTAATGCAAGTGGCATATGTTTTGGCCCTTTTTCATTCCCATGTAAGGGGTTAGGCATTCTCTATTCCAAGAAGGGCATCAAACCTTTGCGAAAAAAATAAAAAATTGCCATCTCTTTTGTTCGGCATTGGCTTCACATTGTTCACCAACCACCATCAACATCAGGGACTGCTGTAACATTCACCTTCAGCATCAGGAACTGGTGAATGTGGTTTGGTTACCCTTTCTTGCTATACTTTCTATTTTTCCTTATATATTACTTGACTCTTGTTATTAAATTCTGTGTTTTGACTTAAAATTATGAATTTTAATTATCAATTATGAATGTCTTTAATTTTTTTTTTTTAATTTTTGAGCATTTATATATATATGTATAAAAATAAATTATTTAATTTATATCTATAAACTTCATAATAGTGGTCATTTCATTATACACTTTCCTGTTATAGCAGTTTTGGGGTCAGGCACTCCATGCCACTATCCAGGATTGATAACAATGCACAAGACTCTCATTTGACCAGATTAGCACAGAAAGGGTGGCCTAGACTAGCCTCACCAGTGAGTCTAAAGGGTGAAGATGCAATCAACATTCAGTTGCTCATGGGTTTTGATGGAATCATGCTTTGGAGTGCAAGAGGTGACATACTCAAAGATCCAAGAGGAGTTGGCTAGACATGAAAGTTTGGGCCAGTCAGGGCCCATCGGGCCTGGGAAGGCCCAAGTTGAACTTTTCATGGGCCATATTTTGTATAGCTAATTTCATATGTTTTGTATACATCATGTTAGTATAGGTATCATATATTTTGGTCTTGTATTTTGGACCACATAGAGTAGCATTTTAGGTTTTAGGCTTGTTGGGCCTAGTTTTGGGCTTCATGGGCCTTTGGGCTTTTGGTACCCAATATTGGGCTCATTTTCATTCTTGTAATTTTTCCTTTCCATTGTATTTGTTGGACCATTGTATTTAGGTCATTAGAGTAGGAATATACAAGAATTACTTAAATAGGTAAAATAGGTTAAACTAGGTTTAATTTGGAAGTCATTTAAGTTACATTTGAGTCACATGTTTAGCACCATGGGTGGCTGAACATGTGCCACTCAAATTAACCCTAAATAACTCTCAAATCAAACCTAAATGCATCTAGGCACCTAAATTTTCGGACTAGCACATGGGAGCCAAAATTTGAATTCAAATTTCAAGTTTGAATTCAAATTTTGGGCGCCACATGTAGCCTTGGATTTAGGCGCCCAAAGTTGCACACTTGGAACCCTACTTAAGTGATTCTTCCACTCTTTGTATTCACTTTTGAGAATAATGAAATTTGAGAGCTTATTCAGCCAAATTTCGTTCAAGAGTCACCATGAGAGAAAGCTTCACCTTAGGAACCCTTCTAGGATTTCCTCCTCTTTGAAGTGAGCTTTCCCTTGCACCTTAAGCTTGGATGCTTCCATCCAAGACTTAGGCCTATCTTCATCCGTGAATCCTTCATCCATCAAGTGTTCATTTCGTTGGTTTCCATTTCCTTGAAGGAGATCCGTGCATAAGGAGAGCTAAGGAGAAGAACACCTACCACTTCTCCTAACCTTCTCCATCAGGTTTATACCGGGGGGTACATTGATGGAAAATTTTATGGGAGCATAAACCATGATCAGTTCTGATATCAACTTGGGGGAGGTGTTGGTTTGATTGATTTTGGGATCTCATTGAGAATCAACCTATTGTAGATACAGAATTAGGTAGATACAGAATTAGGGGTTTGTCTGCTTTGTTGATAGGGCTGAAGCTTTTATCAGGCTGGAGGGCTCAAATAGTTAGTGTGTGCCATAGGATGGTTTGAGTATCTCTTGGATTTTGTTTAAGGTATATCCAGACAATATACACCCCCTGAGCTGTGAGCTCAAGAGAAGCAATGAAGCCTGATAAGGGAATACACATCAGGTTTGACTGAGTTGTACCCAGGTGGTACAAAGTTCTTTAAGCTCTAAGCTCAAGAGAAGCAGTGGACCTTGATAAGGGAACATGTCAGGCTTATCAAGTCAGATCCAGACAGTACACCAACCAGACTCTATTAAATAAAATTTAATTGCTTCATAGTAAGAAGCCTTAGCTAACTAGATATATAGTCTATACATTAGGGTCTTTGGCAAATACATGTGCAACTAGATTTGAAAATTTAAACCAGACATAAACCATTTCTTCCTAGAAAAATTAATTAGTATCATCAATTTCAACATACAAAGCAGGTGAATCTTGACACGAGACAGAATGATCAGTTTGGCCCATTGAAACCATCTAATATTATAATAGTATATATCTAGAATCGTGATTTCATAGAAGAATACATATCCTAACACGCATTTGCATATAAAATAAGATAAATTAAAGACTAATCAGTTTGTACGACATCTGAATAATTATAACAAGAAGTTGTTCCACCACATTAACTTTCTTTTTATTTATATAATTTTAACATTGTTCTAGATCAATTTGATTTAAAATATAAATACATAACACAAGCCAGCAAAAAAGATTTCCCTTTGATCACTAGTGTATTTTCTAATTTTCTTTCTTGTACCTCCTTTATTTATGTATATTATTCTTTGAAGAATAAAAAAATCAGAGTGGAGTTCAACAATAATAATTCACAAAATGGAAATATATTTCCACCATCATTGATAAATCTGACATAGAATATGAATTATTAGCATGATACAGCACTTACGGAGCCACATGAGTGTTGACAAGTGTGAAATATATCTTCCAAAAGTGTCTTTCTTTCATAGCACGTGGACATAGTTCATATCTCAATCTTGAAATTTCCTGCAACAGAGTAATTATAATACATAAAGCATTATATATTAGCAAGCTTGTGATAACTGCATTTTCAAATACACAAGTCTCCATGCTATATTACTGGTGCGGTGGTAAATGATAACACATTATTGTAATATTAGAGAGGTAGGCGTTACTTTTAATGAATTAGTTTGATCACAAACAAATGTCACAAAGAAATAAAACTTAACTAATCATCACACGGTAACAGGCCAATGGATACAATAGACAGAGTTTCAAGCTTAACCACACTCAACTCATTTCCGACCCTAACCATTACCAACCAATAAAGAAAGAAAGAAGAAACATGTAATGAAAATAATCACCAAAATGAATAGGGAAATACATTCATGTTTGGATAGGAGCACTAATAAGAGAAAAAAGTAAGAAGAAAATTTGAAATATGTTTCTCCATAAGCTAAAACTAACTTGTGCATAAGTTAAAGATAAGATTTTAGAGAAACTAATACAAGAAAGCTTCTAGAGATTAACTTATGCATGAGCTAATTTTAACTTATAGAAAAACTTATTTCATTTTTCTTTGCTATTTTTCTCTCTTAGAAGTATTTCTGTAAAAGTTTACCCAAAGAAACTCTCAGTCATTCACCTATCAGTCAAGCATCATTTTTTTCCCTGGAAAAGAAAGTTTAGTCTGCAAGACTCGTGGTGTGTTGGATTCTACGCTGGTTCCACAGTGGGAACCAAAACTCACATAAGAGTGATATCAAATCACCACCACAATCCAGTGTAGCTTCTTCTTCACCATGTATGTGAACACGATTAATTAATAATTTTCAAAGAACCACTATATCAAACATACTATCACAGTTACACACGCTTTCATCACCTTTCTATAAAGTAAAGGTGTGAAGAGCAACGGATTATCAGAAGGACACACTATTATTAAAAAAAAATGAGCATTTTCTCTTCACTTCCGTTTGCCACATTACAAAAACAAGCATATGAAGTGAAATGCATGAGCATCACAAAGCAATCACACTCCCTCGTTGTCAATGTCCATCTTCTTTGTTCAAAAGGAATAACAATCACACTAACCAAAGGGCCTAATAATAATAAACAAACAAACAAACATAAACTAAAAGACAAAGCAATTTCCCCACACAAGGGATCCAATGCAAAAAAAAAAAAAAAAATTGGAATTTATTTACCTTAACAGTAGTTAAAACGAGAGTGGCGTGCTTCTCCTGAAACTCATTGAGATCCTTCCTCACATTGGATCCCACAGTGGAGACATCAGAGCCCTCAGGTTCATCTGCATTTCCCAACCGCACTCACTCAAACCATTCAAAAACAAAAACAAAAACGCAAACATGTTTCCGAAAATTACCGGAAGTGAGGGGAAAGTTCTGGAACGTGGTGGAAGTGAGGCCCTTGACGAAGGATCTGAGGTCGTCGGTGACGCCGAACTTCTCGAAATCCAGCGGCGCGGCGGCGGGAGGCGGAGCGGTGGCGGCGGAGGCGATGGTGTCGGAGAAGGACTTGATCTGGTCGGCCTGGCGGAGGGCGGCGGTCTTGAGGATGTCGGCCTTCTTGGAGGCCTCGGCGGCGAGCTCTTTGGATTTCTTGGCCGTTTCGGAGACGAGATCGGCGATGCGAGAGGAGGACGGAGTGAGGGATTGGGATTTCTTCGCCGCCTCTTCGGCGAAGGTCTTGGCGCGCTTCCAGAGATCCTCCATTGGTGGCACCGGAGGAGAGAGAAAGAAGAGAGAGAAAGAGAGAGAGAAGAGGAAGGATACGACAGCGTATGGGAGAAGGAGTGGACTGCATGAAATTTTTCTTCGCTTTCCTTTTCAACACAATACTTGATTATTCATTAAAAAAATAACTTTAATTGCTTTCTATTTTTTTAAATCTAATATATTTTATCTCCAACACATTCTATTAAATATCATAAATTTATCTTGAAAACATTCTACTTTAATTATAAATATATCAATAATTTCATAAATTTACTTTTTAATCTATATAAAAAAATTATTTTTTTATAAATAATTTTTAATAAAATTATTATTAGTTATTTTAAATAAATATTATATATGTTATATAATATCTATAACATAATATATATATATATATATATAATTAAACTTTCCCTAAATAATTTTTTTTTCTTGCCAAATGTACTTCTCAGTTTCTTAAATTTGAAACTAATATTGTTGGCAATAGTATGACTATTACTGCCTGATACGTTTTTGTACATGGTAAGAATAATCATATGTTTTTCTTTAAATAAATTGTCTCCAAAAACATGTGGGTGAATTCTATGAAAGATCAGTAATGCAAGTTCGTGTATTTATACACTATGAAAATTGATCGTGGATATAATAGTAAAATAATAAACGGTTGAGATATTTAATTAGTAAACTTTTTATGATTAAGATTTTGAAATTGCAGACCAGTCCTTTTATTTTTTTAATTGTCAATCTTTTTGAGGGTTTCGTTTTATGACCCAATCACCGTTCGAAGCAATCCATTTGAGTGATTTTTGACACCTAAACAAGTGGCACCACACTTATTGTTTTGGTGGTGGCACCTATGGTTGTCTTTCTTCTTCCGACACCATCAATTTCTTTCTAGAGGACCTGTTTGGACGCAAAAGTAGCGTCACTGACCGGCCAACCAAATAATGCAAAATTCGTAGACAGAGCTCTAGAAACCATAGAATCAACGCACCTCTGTGTGATTCCAAGCGTTTCTGCTATAGGCATCAAGCTATCACACGATTTAAGCGTTTTGATGGAGTCCTTGAGGCTCTTGAGTACGTGCTATGAGAGAAATCTCTCCATCTTGGAAACGAGGTTGTCTTCGAAGTACTCTTCAGTCATTTTGAGAATCTCGTTGGCTCAACGTAGCGCAACCACATCGGACGGGGAAAGGTTGATCTTTACACTGTAACAAATTTTGGCGACCATCTCAAACACCTCGGAGCCATCGAGGAAGGTCGTGAAATTGATGTGTTTTCTTCCTCTTGCTGCATTGTGAGGTGATGGAAAAGAAGGTGAAGGAAGACTCAATTTTCTTGATGTTGGAAGACTAAAATATAATTTTTATAAAATTTTAATTGACTGGATACTTCCACATTTACCTACTATTTTTCCTTGTGTACCCATGCACCACTTGTTCAACATACCCACGGTAAAATCCACCAAACATGTGATATAAAATATCTAACTAATTTATCAGGTTATTTAAGTAATATAATTATTTCTTAAGAGTGATAGATTAGGAAACATAAAATACATCTTCTTAAATATCTCAATTATTTAAAAACATATATACATTATTTGAAAAAAAATATTTGTGTCCCACTTAATCTACAATATATTATTGGCAAAGACCGAAATAAATAATACGTCTAAGGTTTTAAATTTAAATTTTGATATGGTTATTGTAATTTTGATGTATTAAAAAAATTGTATTTTTGACCTTTGAAGATACTAAACAAACATCAATACAAAATTTGTTGCAATCTAGAAAGGTTTTTTAGTTAGTTTAAGGAAGTAGGTTTCAAAAATGTTGTTTGCGATAGGAATTCCATGACAGATCTCCATTTTATAACAAAAGGTTTTTCTACTTGTCATCTTATGCTTTGTTTAAACTAAATTTGATCCTTACCGATGAGGCTTAGTAACTATCTTTTAATCATATTTATAAGGAAGGTAACTAATGTATAGATTGGCTAGCTAAGAAAGTTCATCTCTCTAGAGGAGAATTTTGTTATTTGGGAGTATGTTTATTGTTTTAACTGATTCTATAGGCGTTTATTTTGTTAGGTATTGTTTTGTTATCTTTCTAGTGATGAAAAGAAAATGCACCTAATGTATATAAGATGGGGAAAAAATGTTAAGAAAGTGGTTTAATTTATAGACCCTATATTAACTCTACAAAATTGGCTTAGGTTTGTTGTGTCACTCGTTACCGGACAATCGGATTAACTGCAAATGTCTAATCTTGTAAATTTTACATTTGAGATGTTTAGTTCCACGATGTGAGGAGAGTGTGTTAAAGATTTCAAATCAACTAAAAATAAGACCATAATAATATATATATATAAGTAAAAAATATTTTTCACTTTACAAATCAATTTTGTAAGGTTGTGTTAGGTCCATATCCAATTTCTTAAGAAAAAAACACTAATTAAAAAATAATTCATTTGTAAAATGAGTATGATGAGTCAATATTGGGGTATATGAGTTAAGGTCTATGGACTTGTTCGTTTAACCCACAATCTACACAACTATGGGCTCACCTTTTTTAAAATTCGTATGAATATATGAATTTTTTAGCTTGGTTCATGAAGTCTGCAAACTTCGTGGGCTTAATTCGTGGAGTCAAATGGCTAACCCTTTTAACATGAAAATTTAATAATGTTTATTTTTAAGATATTAAGAATTTAATATTTGATTGGTGTATTTTAAATTTTAAAATTTAAAGATATTTAAATTAACGAATTTTCCAACTAGGTCCATGAAGTTCCTAGACTTGATGGGCTTAATTCGCGGAATCCATGGACAATCCCGTTTAACATGAAAATTTAATAATATTTATTTTTAAGATATTAAAATTTTGATATATGATTTGTAAATTTTGACTTTTAAAATTCAAAAACATTAAGATTTAAGACTTTGATGTTTAGTTAATATTTTGGACTTTTAAATTTGTAAAACATTAAAATTTTGATGTTTTTGTTTGAATATGCAAACATTGATTTGCTAAGACTTTAAATTTTAATTTAAAATGTTTAATATTGTTTACAAATATAATTATATTCCTTTTTTAAGTATTAATTTTCTTTCTAATTTTTTTTTGTAATTATATTATTAATATGAAATACCTACCAAATTTTTTAATGATGAATTTCTATTAGCTGGTTATTTTTAGTGGAACTTCCCTTTTTAACTATGTTTTTTTCATACACAAAATTAGAATATGAGATATTATTTAAAGAGACATCATCTAATATTACTTCGACCAAGTTTGTAAACAAGATGTTGGTCCAAGTAAAGACGTTCAAATTATGGCATTGAAAAGGTGGAATGAGTAAGGGTGAAGAATTGAAACCACGATATATTGAATTATATTAGAAGTTAGTATACGTAAGGACTAAAGAAAGAATGCTTCCATAGTCTCATATACACTTTAATGGATAAAAATTCTCTCATCCATACTCATAAACTCGTCCTTCGTATCACTCACATCATTGATGGGGGAGTATAACTGCCTATCTCATCAAGTAATACTTCAAAATATATATATCTTTAACATCAAATCTATATGTTATTTTCTTATTGAGTAAGTATCAGTATTATTAGCATATGTGGTTTAATAGAAATCTTTATATGGTTCAGAACTACCATGTTTTCACTAACTTTTGTATAAGGTGTAATCGAGTTTTATCAAACAAAAATAGATACTTATTTTTTTTTTCTGCAAACTTTTATCGATTTCTTTTAACCGTTTGAATAAATTTATAAATTTAATATGTTTTTATTTTTCAAATATTGTAATTTTACAATTTTAATCTACAAATGTTAATCAAGCAATTTTAATTTCTCAAGTATTTTAATTATACAATTTTGACCCTTCAATTTTTAATTAAAAAATTTTAGTTCTTTAAGTATCGTAATTGTATAATTTTAGTCTTTTTTGTTAAAAATTTAATAACTTTTGTCATTCCAGTAGTAATAAGGGAAATTATATATCGATATTTCTAATTAACTTTCTTATGATATATTTATTTTTTCTAATATAATTATTTTTGTAAAAATTATTAAAATATAATAATTTATGTTTATGAAATTATTAATTTATCTATTAATATATTAAGGTGCGTGGTTCCTTGTAGATAGTCAATGGGAAAACTCCACAAGTGACTTGATAATGCATGCCAAGGTCGTGGTAAGCCTATACCCAGTTGTACTATTCTAGACGGTGGAATCAGACTTTCAAGTGTGTAAGTGGCATCATCCGAGTAAATCCAAGTGGGGATTAATATCCCAATTTGCTGTGATCATATGGGCACATTGGGTGTGAAACTGATTGGGGTGGTTTCGGTAAAATGAGATTTCATTTATATTGCTCTGTTGTTAGAGAGATCTCTTAGATGAATGCATGATGACGCATTAGATGATTAATATGCATTGATATCTATCATGAGTTGCATTTATTGCATGATTGTTGTATGATAGAGTGCTTTGTTTGACTCTATGAAAATGATTGGTGATTTGATGAGGGTATAACATAGATGTTTATTCTTATGCTTACATGATTGATTATTGAACTCTGGCTTACCCTTCTATTTCCATGTGGATGGACTGTAATGATCATACTGTGTATTGGAGTAGATCAAGGTTATGTTGGAGCTAGTTGCTATAACTGCTGCGGGATATGGAGTTTTGTCTTGGTGTTAGAGTTACAATCTTGGGTAACTGTTTAATTGTGCTTGACCGACACTAGGAGAGTATTATTATTCTAGACAACTATATATATAGTATTATATTTTGTGTATGGAAACATAATTTATTATTACTTTTATATACATGTATGTATTTGGTTATTTAGTTTAATATCTTCTCTTACTCCCTAAAGGTAAGTAATGAATATTTAAAATTTTGGCTTAATTGTATTTTTTATCTTTTAAGTATTGTAATTGTGCAATTTTGATCCCCAAGATTTTAATTGAGTAATTTTAGTCCCTAGAAGATTGTAATTGTGCGATTTTAGTCCCTTAAATATCATAATTGTATGATTTGAATCTCTCCCATTAAAAATTTAATAATTTAAATTTTTT